TGTGCTAAGCATTTGATATGTTCCAGCAAAGTGAATCGTCATGAAACAGCCTGTGTGCTGGGTAATAGTATCCTCATAGTACAACTGGGGAAACCTGGGTGTGGAGGTTAAGTAGCCTGCCTGGTTTCACCCAGTTCGTAAGTAGCAGAAGCAAGATCCAAACCCAGGGATATGAAGCTTGCTGATTAGGCTGTGTTTCAAAGCCCTGCATACTATTAAAAACAGAGTTTGATTTGTACGTTTGACTCAAAGTTTCTTTTTCCCTTAGAGGGACAAGCATCATTTCAAGTCCTTGAGCTCAGCCATTGGGAGCTTGTTAAGTCATGTGGAAGTCCATGGTGCCCACATGGTGGACACTGTGGAGCCGGCGGGGGTTGGGGAAGCGGGCGCTGATGCTTTTGTCAGCCGTGTCTCTGGTCTAAGCCTTTATGGCAGAAAAGGTTCTGTGCAGCTGCCACCCCTCCAGAAGGTTGAGTCAGCCTGGCTTTGTGACTGGCGCCACCTTGCCCTAAGACTTTGCTGAGCCCATGCATATCGCCAGGAGGGCCACCTACTGTCCACCTGCTCTCATGAGTCATAAAACTGCCACACTGGCTCGGCTTCCAGGCTTGCCAGCTCTGCATTAACCCCCAGTCACCACACCAGGAGGGAACTTAGCCATTTATGGCAGGGCACCGAGCAATGCTTTTCCCCAGACTGGCATTCTCCTTGGAATGTGCAGCTGGAAAACCACGGGGACAAAGCTCAAGGTTCAGGTTGTTTCCATTGCTTTTCACCAAGTGGCTGAGGGATGATGGGGAACATAGCAGCCTAGAATCCAGTAGTCCAAGCCAGAGAAGAATCAGCCCTTCAACAGATCATAGGGGTAGCAGGGTGAGCAAGTGTCGTGGCCTCCAATGTGAGGCAACAGGGAGATCAGAGGAGGGAATGAGAACATTACATTAACTATTCCAGGCTTTTGGCTATTGAGTGTAGCCCATTTGACTTTTACTGTGCCTCTATCGTTGAGAATCTTCAGCTGAGAGATTCCCATTTTTCTTGAAGAAAGGCTTCCTTATCTACCTGACATTCTCCAAATGATTGCACATCTTGATAGCGCCTAAAAATGTACCCTTTGTGCAAAGTTCCTTGAGGGCCCTCTTATTTACTGTTCTATTGGCAGGATGTGCATGAGTGTGATAGTTAGCTAAGAAAGTCAGAATGAAATAAAACCAAACTTCTTGTTGCTGTTAGGTGTCATGGAGTCGGTTCCAACTCGTACTGATCCTATGCACAACCAAACCAAACATTGCCAGGTCCATCCTCACAGCTGTGTTTGAGCCCACTGTTGCAGCCACTGTGTCAGTCCGTCTCTCTGAGGGTCTTCCTCTCTTTTGTTGTTGTTGACCCTGTATCAAGCTTGATGTAGTTTTTCAGGAACCAGTTCCTTCTGAGAAAATATTCAAAGTCTGTGAGACAGTCTCTCACTGTCCTCACTTCTAAGGAGCATTCCAGCTGTACTTCTGTCCAAGATAGATGTGTTTGTCCATCTGGCAGCCCATGGTATATTCGATATTGGTTGTCAGCACCGTAATTCAAATGCATCAATTTTTTTGTCCAGTCTTCGTATTCACTGCCCAGCTTCCACATGCATATGAAGCAATTAAAAATACTGTGGCTTGGGTCAGCCACACCTTAGGCTTCAAAGTGACGTGTTTCCTCTTTAACACTTTAAAGAGGTCTTTTGCAGCAGGTTTGCCCAATGCAATATTGGATTGATTTCTTGACTGCTGCTTTCATGGATGTTGATTGTGGATCCAAGTAAAATGAAATCCTTGACAATTCCGTTTGTTCTCCATATATCATGAGGTTGTTTATTACTCCACTTCTGAGGGATTTTGTTTTCTTTACATTGAGGTGTAATCTATGTTGAAGGCTGTAGTCTTTGCTTTCCATCAGTAAGTGCCTCAAGTCATATTCACTTTCAGCAAGTTTGATGTGTCATCTGCATATCGCAGGTTGTTAATTAGCCTTCCTCCAATCCTGATACCATGTTCTTCTTCATATAGTCCAGCTTCCCAGATGATTCCTCCAATCCTGATACCATGTTCTTCTTCATATAGTCCAACTTCCCAGATGATTTGCTTAACATAGCCCACCTCTCCCCACCCCCGCCCACCACGGATTACGTATGGTGAAAGGATCCAACCCTGACACACATCTTTGCTGATTTTAAACCAGTCAGTATCCCTTTATTCTATTTGAATGACTGCCTTTTTGTCTATATACAGGTTCCATGTGAGCAGTTATGTGATCTGGAATTCCCATTTTTTGTAATATTATCCTTAGTTTGTTATGATTCATACAATCGAATGCCTTTGCATAGTCAAATAAATCTCAGGTATTCTGGTGTTCTCTGTTTTAAGCCAAGATCCCTATATCATCAGGAATGATACCCCTCCTCACCCCCACCCATTACATGTCTTGAATTGGGCTCAAGTTTCTGGCAGTTCCCCGTGGATATACTGCTGCAACTCTTCCTGTATTATCTTCAGCAAAATCTCACTTACATGGACCATTAATGATATTGTTTGATAGTTTTTATGTTCTTTTGGATCCCCTGTCTTTAGAACAGGAGCAAATGAAGATCTCTTCTTGTTAGCTGGCCAGGTAGCTGCCTTCCAAATGTCTTGATTTAGACGAGTGAGTGCCAACAGCACTGCATTGGTTGGTTGGAACATTTCAATTGGTATTCTGTGAATTCCTACAGCCTCTTTGCCAGTGCCTTCAGAGAAGCTTGGACTTTTTCTTTCAGCATTATTGGTTTTTGATCATATGCTGCCTCCTGAAATGGTTGAACCTCCATCAGTTCTTTTTGGTTCCGTGACTGTATATTCCTCCCAACTTCTTTTGAAGCTTCTTGCATCATTCAGTATTTTACCCATAGAAACTTTCAGTAGTGCAACTTGAGGCTTGAATATTCAGTTCTTTCAGCTTGAAAAATGCCAAGCATGTTCTTTCCTTTTGGTTTTCTAACTCCAGGTCTTTGCCTATTTCATTATAATACTTAGTCTTCTCAAGCTGTCCTTCAAAATTTTCTTTTACTTCATCATTTCTTCCAATCACTTAAGCTTCTCTACCTTCTAGAGCAAATTTCAGAGTCTCTTCTGAAATCCACTTCAGTCTTGTCTTTCTCTTCTGTCTTTTTAATAACCTTTGCTTTCTTTATGTTTGATGTTCTTGGTGTCATCCCATAACTCTGGTCGTCAGTTATCACTGTTCAGTGCATCAAATCTGTTCTTAAGCTAGTTTCTAAATACAGGTGGGATATACTCCAGGTTATATTTTGGCTCTTGTGGAGTTGTTTTCATTTTTTTTTCAGCTTTAGCCTGAATTTATATGAGCAATTGATGGTTTGTTCCACAGTCCACCCCTGGCCTTGTTTTGGCTAGTAATATTGAGCTTCTCCATCATCTCTTCCCACAAATGTAGTTGATTTGATTCCTGTGAATTCCATCCTGTGAGATCTAAGTGTATAATCACTGTTTATGTTGTGGAAAAAAAGGTATTTGCAATGAATAAGTCATTGGTCTTGGCAAAATTCTGTCATGCAATATCCAGCATCATTTCTATCACCAAGGCTATATTTTCCAATCCTAATTCTTCCTGTTTCCAACTGTTGTATTACAATGACCAGTAATTATCAATGAATCTTGATGACATGTTTGATTAATTTCAGACTGCAGCAGTGTGTTGTTGTTGTTGTTGTTGTTAGGTGCCATCGAGTCAGTACCAACTCATAGCAACCCTATGCAAAACAGAATGAAACACTGCCCAATTCTGGGCCAACCTCACTATTGTTGCCACACTTGAGCCATTGATGTTGTCACTTTGCCAATCCACTTTGCTAGGGGTCTTCCTCTTTTTCTCTGACCCTCCACCCTACCAAACATGATATCCTTGTCCAGTGACTGGTCCCTCCTGACAATAAGTCCAAAGTATGAGAGACGAAGTTTGGCCATCTTGGCCTCCAAGGAGCACTCTAGCTGCACTTCTTCCAACACAGATCTGCTGGTTCTTTGGGCAGCCAGCCCATGGCACTTTCAATATTCTCCTCCAA